GGTAGTCTCTTGGAAGACTTTGCCGTTCTTATATGTGTTGATGGCTAATAGTTTATAGGGCTTGTTAGCAGACTCGTCAGTATAGAGGACCCAGACGTTGGGCTGGAGACCAGTCTGATAAATGGCAGTGTAGTTGGTGCCATCCTTTGGGTCCACTCCTTCAGGGCCATGATGAGACCACTTGGTATACGAGCCACCGTCGAGTGATTCGATGCCCTCCTTGATCCACCCATTATCCTCAAGGCTCTGGGTGTTCTGTGTCGCCGCAGTGAGCATGCGATGAGAAGGACGAGTCTCCTCGAGGACAGTACGGGCTGTATTCATGAATATTTGATCGACCTTGTGCATCTCAGGGGTTTCAACATACATCATATACTGATAGGGGTGGTTGGGGGAGGCCTCGACTCTAACCTGACCCTCCTCAGTGACGATAACATCTTCCCTCGTAGTTAGGCTACCATCTTCCATGCCGGGAAGCGTGAGGCCATAAGTCTCTCTAGCCATGGACTTGCCGCAAGGTGCGGGGTTACCGTCCGCGTCAAGGAGGTCCTTGTTACAGTACTTGGTGGTGGTAGCCGTGAAACGGGCATTACTTGCCTTGAGGGCATCGACGCAGTAGTTTATCCCTATGAAGGGGATGAGGAAGAAGAACATAATGTGGATCATTTACAGGGAAAAGTTATATGGAACAGAGATTAAAGTTGAAGCTGAAGACAGTCTTGTGTAATTCCTAATCAGGGAGGACCAGTGGCCCTGGGCCACTTGTACTCAATCAGAGATTCAATGCGAATAGGGCTGTTGACTCCTCGCAGTATGCATATCAATGGAGACATTACGACTCACAGTCCATGAAGAGTATCGACATCGTGGTGTTGCTCATCTCACTGGCACAGCCAGCGATAAGTGGCATCTTCCCCTCATGTATAAAGCTCTGTGTGTCTGCGTGCAACGCACAAGAGGATTTAGCTAATGGAGATTGTCCATTGGGGAGACGACCTACTGTAATTACAGTTAAAAGGAAAAGAGTGGAACATTTCCAACTCCCTACGCTTAGCGTAGTACGCTATGTGAAAAAGTAGGAAGATTGTGCTCATACAGGAATATTTCAAGTGATGTGCCCTAGAGAAATATGGAGCCCAGCTGCAGGAGATACCTCAGATCTCGGCATTGTGGGGGTTATCTCTATGTATGCGTGAAAAGGCCTACCCAAGTTTAGAGGCAGAATCTTAAACGGTTTTAATTGGATTCGTGCCATCAAAGTACCATGGATCGCCACCAAACCGCCGACTCGCTGCTGATTCCTTCTTTTTATCTGCCCCTCTTCTGCACTGGATCCCAACAGCCGCGCATTACTGATGTTTGAGGTGTATTCACGTGAACTGCAATACTTCGATCATCGACTGGATCGATCCGGCCTCCATGCTCCCTCTGCCGTGATCCCCTCAATTCGACGGAGGCCATCACTCCTCACACTGTTGTATCCAAGGCTCACCCGAAGAACGATCATTTGCGAGGGTTCAGACTCCATATTCAGGCTAAGTCAGAGCTAAGAAGTAGTTCCCAGCGTTTCAAGGGTAGACTGCGACCGTGTTCCCACTTGCTATCTTGAGTGAAGGGGTGGCCCTGATAACAGTGCATGAGCTCGTCTATCCCTAGGGATGCATGATATGCTGATGTTTTGCATTGTTGTTCATCATTGCCAATGATTCATTGGCTCTTGTGTCTCTTCTTTATCTCAGTAAGGCGCAAATTCTCCTAGCTATTACCTACCTCCTTTACGCCTGTCTCTTCCTCCTCAATAGACAAACGCAGACGCAAGCTGCGTCGTCGACTGAGTCGCCGATAAGTATGTCTTGCATCCTGTCACTCTGCCTGATGGCTCCATCAAGCTATTGCCCCTTCCGCCAGACCATAATTTGCCTACGTGTGATCCTCTAATAACTATATCCCATGATGGCATCCACTACCACGCCTCTTCTGAAGCCCGGATTCTCAGACAACGTACTTCTATTTCTGTTGATTGCTCGAGTCTTACCTCACGCCATCTCCCTTGTCTGCACTAATCAACATAGCATTCCACGTCTCCGCCGCTGTCAGTGTAAACAACTCCGCCGCCTTGCTCGCGCTCTCGAACCTACTCGCCAACTCGGGTTAGCCGAAATACATTTCTCGAATTTATGTTCATATCTCCACAAATTCCCGAATTCTGTTCTCACTTACATCTACCGTTCATGGCCGTCCTGTTACATCGTGCCAACTATTGTGATCCGTCACTCGCACTGGAGTTGGTCTATGGTTTGTCATTTCATGACAATTTTTACACCCCGGGTAACATTTTCGCTGAGGGTGTCTCCCAAAAATGGACGTACACTGACCCAACACTATTTTACATACAGGCTCTCTCAAGGACGACCTAACATACCAACGCTTGCAACGAGAGTCTCCGAGCACTGATGATGCCACTTTGTGGCAGGCGGCTATTGATGGGGTCGATAGCCACTGTGGTTGAACCACACCATGGCTGGCTCCATCGACGGCGACAGTTATGCGACTGACTTTGATTGCACGAAGATTTCCCGTACGCCAGGTCTCCAAAACGAGGCCCTACGCCGATTACACTGCGTCGGGTCTGAATGGTTGCCAATACTTCGATCGTCGTACGACTCTACACACCATTGACTTGATTACACAGATGTACAGCACTCTGTCGGATCCCTGGCCAGATGATCTTGATCTCCGCATATGGGGTGCTGACCACCAAAGTGCTTATCGGCAAGTCGCGTCGTTTCCTCCGCACACCTCTACTCTTGTCGCACTTCGTAATCCGCCTACGGCCCATTTATATTTGTTTAGACACTTTGCTCAGGCCTGTGGAGTCAGATCGAGTGTCTGAAACTATCTTCGCGTATCACAAGCGTTGGTCTTTCTGTCAGGGCATACTTTTCTACTATCGTCGTTAGCTATATCGATGATTTTTCTGGAGGCGAAGATGTAAGGACTATCGACTCAGGCTGAGTCACTCAGCCCAGTCTTCCTTCCTCTTTTTGAACTCTATTCTAGGCTAGAAAGTTAATAATTCGAAATGTTCTCCACCTTCTCATTCCATGGTTCTTTTGTCATCGAAATATCTGTCTACAAACTCTGGCTCGAAACACTGTCTACAAATAATGTCTGCTTCTCCTTTCATTCCGCGAGAACACTATGAAAAACTATTTGTGCTTCTCTTGCCGATATTCTCTGAGACAATTTCTCTTATCCGATGAGAGAAAGTCAGTGACTGCCGATGGTACTCATAGCTATGATCACAAGTTCAGTTTTCTTTGGTCGTCTCTCATCGGTCTATTGTTGATCACAACCCCTTCTCAATATAAGTTACCAGATGTCAGTAATACAATGAGCAGGGCTGGTGTCAGCACTCGTCAAGCTGGAAAGGAGGATGGTCAGGAAGGATTATCTGCATCCCCACTGCTGGATACCCCTATTGCCTCATCACGTGTGACGCCAACACGGCATTCTACCGGGATCGAATCTTCGGTACAGACCACCATGGACGTGCAAAAATTGAGATTATGTGTGAAGCAACCATGGTCTGGCCCATCTAGCGAGGTTCCCTATCAATAATTCAAGGCCAAAGTGGAGAAGAGCTTGAAACTATTCAAGCTCGAGGGTCTTCCTGCCCGTCTATATCTCCTGAAAGGCTCGATGACCCTGTGGAGACGAAGTTCATTGATGGCTTATCTATCGATCAAGTCTGGGAGAGGTTAGACGAAACCTATAATGCGGCCCGGCGCAAGATATCACCATGCCAAAATTGGCAATCCCTTCGGCGAAAGCTTGGGGAAACTCCCACGCAGTTTGCTCATCGCGTGGAGATCCAAGCGCGTCTAATGAGAACTGCTGCTAATCGGTACATCGATGATGAAGTCATCGCGGCGAAGTTCCGTGAATCCCTCCGAGATGATCTACGTAAGAAGATCGAGGTATACCTCGGTCCGAGATATGTTGACTTGGAGGAAACGAGAGAAGCCGCTGAGTGCTTTGAGAGCAAGATCCAAGGCCGTAGTGCAGCTGGTAGTACCTTCAAAACCGATGTCCCCAAGAAAACCCTATGCAGAGCCTTTGCGGCTGGTAAAAGCTGTCGATTTAGCAGTAAATGCCGTTTCAACAATGATCGCAATGTGGCATCGACTCTTAGTCGTGGTAGCAATCCTGAGTCTAGCACTCTACCAACCGCTGCTGCCAATACTCCCTCAAAATCAAAAAGAGTGGATGCTACTCCCAACGCTCCAAAAGTATGATATCTTTATATGGCAGCTAACCAGTGTAGTATAGAAGACCAGTGCCCTTATCCTCACGTCTCACCGGTGACTAACACGATCACCAATGTGGCGAACACTCAACAATCAGCTGCTGCCGTCTGTGGTAGCCTCGATATTGATAGCTGTGGAGCAATTCTCTACGAGCACAATACAATAACCACTTGCCCTTAACTGCTAACATCCGCATATCAGACGACAATGATGAGAACGGCATCGATGCCAGAGACATCATTGAAACTGGGTCAACGGAAAATCTATGCTTATCGTCTCGGGAATGGGTTTGCTTTGTGCCGAAAAACATCTGATGACCAGGTTGTCGGCAGTGGAGTTATCAAACTAGCAGATGGAGCTAATATCATCCGCCCAATATCTCGTATTGACCTATGATGTGCCACTGCTCGGTCATGAGTCTCGCAACCATTGACTAGTTTGAATTACCTCTAATGAAGGTCCACCATCTGATGATAATCCTGTATCATTTCGCAGATCTATAACATTTCCCCCTCTATGTACCTACTATTACCCCTGATGAAGGTCCACCATCTGATGATCATCCTGTATCATTTTCTGACTCTATGCCCTTGAGGCGAATCATCAATAAGTATTTTTCCCGAGCAACACTCCTTCCACCAGGCAAATAGCCTGTATAAGAGTATGGCCGCAAACTCAGCAGCTCCGAAATGAGCGGCTAAGACCAGGTATGCTCTGAAGCAAATTTACATGGATTTTATATGTATAGATTTGATCGGAGAGGCCACAACCTCCCGGAGTGGAGGCACATTCCGAGGCTCGCGATGTGCTCATCATAACCTTTCTAAAAGGTTAGATAGAAAGTGTTCTTGGCCAAACTTTCCGAAGGTACTTCAACCACTCCCTTACCCTTTGAACCAAGAAACCAGTCATATCGTAGGGGCTCGATAGGGCCTGTTCATAGACAACGCCCTTTCCATTTTCTCCAAAAGGTACACTGATGTGAGTATACCACTGTTTCTTGGTCCTTACCGCAGTACCGGCACGTTGTTGGTCCGTGCTTGCAGTGTGGTCTCAGACAGCTGTGACCTGTCAGTGCATCGCACAGCAGCTCGCGGTCCTACATTGTCGGCGCGGCGCGGCTTGGCGCAGGCGAGAGCACTGCTTGAGGTCCAGCATTATTCCTGTTTCTCTGATCCTAGTATGTCTAAATGAGCATGTCAATAAGTATGATCCTAATACATTCTATAATCAACTAGATGATCTACCGTGGTCTACTCATTGCAGGCGCTTCAAGGGAAGTGGAAGCACAGTTTCGGTCATAAGAATAGTGTCTTACGTTCTCTGAACACATTCAAGTACAAGATGCCTTCTACGAGTTGATTAATAGCGGTACTGTAAAAGTTTGTGAGGACCGATCTCGCATTAAGTCATATATCTCAATCAATTCTGACAGAATTATTCTGTGTTTAGAGACGTTAGCGTCAGTGCAACTACCTCTTGTAGGTTGACGGTTGACGCCCATAGACTTACTGAATTTATTCGTACGGGAATCAGTGAACGGGTCACTCCCATTACTGCGAATCCCACACAGTGAAGGCTAGCTCCACACTATGTGACTCTTGATCTTAATAAAGCATACCACTCAGTAACTTACTGACAGTAAGACTGTTTCAAGAGTCGTCGGCATACTGTGGTGGTTACCCGTACGGAGTCTTAGATAGAGTAGACTACTCTATCTGGATGAGACTTCCGTTTGATCTTAATTGTTCGAGTGCCTGCCTTCACTAGGCTCTTCACCCCTTATTGCAACTTCTCTATAAAAAATGCTCCTTATACCATTATGTTGATGACCTCGGTTTGTCGAATGTGAGCATTTCTACCTTAATGGAAAACGAAGAGGTCATCACCAAGGTGCTCAACGACGCCGGTTTCGCTCTGCAAGGCAAGAAGTGAATATCACTCTTTCAACTCGATGGCATCTACAAGCAGTTTGGTTACCAATGGGTGATATGCAATCATGTCGACCAAGATAACTGTGACCATGTTCTCTGCAAGCTCACTGAAGCTCTTGAGGTCCCCACCACTCGTAGGGAACTATGAAGCATCCACGATAAATGGTATGATCCCATTTGAACCAATAATTGGTTCATTCCCTGTAGTAGCGCCTCGTTCTCGATTGAATTTGCATAAGGCATATATTCAAGACCCAGCATGGGATGAACCAGTCGATGCCAAGCACATCGGAGCCTTCAACAATTGGTGCGCAAGCGTCAACAATGGGTCACACATCCCTCTACCACGAGCCCTAAGTCCAAAGGAGTTACACATGTATTGTGACTCCAGAAAAAATGCCTGGGCGTGCACGGCACTATGCCCTGAGTATATACATAAGCCTGCCGGCACCCCACCTACGGTAGGTGACCTACCTCAGTGATCTATCCTCTGCAGGGTACTAGGTCGGTATATGGCATGGCAATGGCGTCCTGGTCAATCCCCAAAAAACAGCTCTGCTGCCTCTTCAAGGCCGTCGAGCTGATGTTCGCTCTCGGTACAGTCACAGATGAGCAGTATCCAGCGCTGAATGGTCAATGGGTTATCCTCTCTGACAGTGCCCTCGCCCTCTACAGATTGAAGGCTAAGCACTCCAAATGTCAAATGACTCCCCTCGAGAAACGGTGGCTCGGGTTTATCCGAGCAGCATGCCTTGCCAACAAGTAGAAGATCGTACATGTGCCAAGTGCAAGCAACTTGGCCGACGTTTCATCGCGAGGTATCCTCCCGCTCACCCCCTTTACGGTTACCTTAGCTGATGTGCGTCGAATGGTATATGGTCCTCCAGTTGTTCAGTACTGCCTCGACGGGTCGAAGCGAGGTTCACGTCGGAACGGATGATGTGGGGCGAGGCAGTGGCACATCTTGGCTTGAGACTCTCAAGTTGAGAGTACTGCAGGTTCAAGCGGAGGGGTGAGGAGAATTGTGCTGAGGCCGTCTCTCCTACTATTGCTGGGGTTGGTCTCCAGGAGGCGTTGGGCGTTGTAGATGTAAGCCACACCAAAGCTGAAGGGCGAACAGGGGGCTGAAAAAATTATCTCCGCGACGCCTCTGATTAAATTTCCAAGACTCTAGAGTATGTGCAAATCTCGTGAACAGGTGAGCCGGGAGATTGGGGCGACTGCGGTACGTCCGCTCTGACTCCATTTGTCTCCCCGCGAACGTACCTCTATCGGATTATCCGATAAACTCTATCCGATAGACTCTATCCGATTCGGATAGAGTCTATCCGAATAGAGCGGGACGTACCGCTCTATTCGGATAGACTCTCCGAATCGTTTCGTAATACCCCAAGGTTTCCTCATCTCGGGCGATGTCACCGAGATGACCCCTACACTCCTGAGAGGAAGTAGTGCCGAAAATGGTATTGATATAGTAACATCGTGCGAGTCATCCGAAACACTTTCTTAATGAGGTACTACTCCTTGGAGCGAAGAAGAAGCGGAGCTGATAGCGGAATTTGAGGAGTCATCTGCAGAAAGAAGAGGGCTCCTTAGCCTCGGATGCCTCTCGCATCATCATAACCTGTTGTGTAGAGCCCTCTTCGAGAGGAAAACTCGAACAGACGGGAGCGGAAGACAAACTTCTTCTGAAGGCCAGTTCTATGGAATTAGCTGCTCTGCTGAAACGGTCAGACGACTCCTCAAATTCCAGTATGTCGCCCGTGTGTTTACTGAAGAGCTCGGAGGGAAAGCTGTATGGTCGCTGGCTGAAACACGCTGGCTATCAGCTTATAACCAGCTTGTGTCTTTTCTAGCATCATTTGATGTGATAATGAGACTTTTGAAGCTGTTGAGGGAGGCCCACTGGGAGAAGTGAGTTCTCTGTTTGGGCCTACTTGCCATGGAATCCGCCGATGAGGATGTCAGCGTATATTTCTTTCAGTCTTTCTGACGTCATAAAGAACCATTTTTTCGAAGCTGAGCGAGCCATGTCGGTTGAAGGATTGAAGAAAAAGCTCCAAGAAGTTGTTCGTGAATTGAAACCTCTGAGGACTCTGTCAGATAAACTACAACATAGCCAGTGTAGCTATTTCGATGGGATATGTTCAATGATATCCACATACAATGACCTCAAAAAAAGTGGATTACTGACCCGACAGTCAGTCGGTCAGATAACATCCAGGTCCGCTGAGAGGACGGGGTTCTCGTTGGCTCGAAATCATCCGATTCCCACTATCTCAGGCAAGAGCGTGCCCTCCTCGGCCTTAATTGGGTCCCTATATTCGATCCTACTCGACCCCGTAATGACTATCGATTCGCAGATGTAGTGCAGTTACTGCGAACATATAGTGAAGAACATAGAATCATAAGTTTGCAAGATTCCCTCAATCTTGTGATGGACTACTGGCAGAAGAGAGGTCTGCACTCGTTGCATGATGCAACTTGCATCTATCGTTATATGATAATCTCGTAGGTCAGCACCTCACCATGGCCCACTGTCCTCCGGCAGCTTACTGGGAGTTTTTTAAGAATAACACGAAGAGCTCGCTTGCAGCTGTTCTATGCACCTTGTGCCAAATTCCTGCTGGAACTGCGGCCTTGGAACGTTCGTTCAGCTCTGGAAAATTCGTCACGAAGTAGGATCGACGCATCGTGCTCGTAAATATCAAAGCGACTCATCCGGCTATCGACAATTTCAACTACCAGGTGCCAACCTGGGATCTGTATGATTGCTGCTCAGGGTCAACAGACTTCAAGCAGAGATATTTACTGATGTTTACTTACGATACCAGACCCGCAAGAGCTTGGGATTGATAGATTCTGAGTCAAGTGATATGCAGTTCCCTGAACAAGCCAATTGATGATGCATTGGTGCATGAATATACTTGTTTAATCAAGACTTGAGTTCTCTTGAGTTGAGTGGTTCTTAGCCACAGTGCTGCCAAATACGTTCGCTTTTTTTCATCGAGGTTAACTGGTTCTATCGTGGTAATTAGAGCAGATGAGAAGATGCTTCTAAAGCTTTTTCTTTTTTGTCTTCACCGTTTCTTCCATTTTATTCCAATTTTTTCCCCATTTTTTCCCATTTTTTGCCATTTTTTTGCCATTTTTTTGCCTTTTTTGCTATTTTGCCAATTTTGGCAATTTTTTCCTCTTTCTTTCCTATTTTTCCAAGTACCAGGAAATGGCAGGAAAATTTCCACTGGAAAAGTTGGCAATGGAAAAATTGTTGCCATTTTGGAGCACCCTGGTATCTCACGACCAAGAGAGTCAGCGGGTCGAAAAGGAATAGCAGTCACGAGCCTGATGACGTAGCTGGTCATGACCTCGCTGATTATTAGCGATGAATAGGAGGGCCTCGTGTCATGAGGCCCTACTATCCATCGCTCTGAGACAGGTTCTCGTTTCAGTTGGGGCCAACTCGGTTTCAGTTGGGGCCAATTATGGATTTCTCGCTTCGGAATAGGCGTTGTAGGGCACCGCCCACCGGGATAATACCAGGCAACTCGTCGTGTTTGCAGTTCATGCTGATGATGGACCACGGCTCATCTAATACTTGAAGCTGACCTCATGTGAATAACATGTCAGGATAACACTCAACTTACAATCAATACCGTCCTCCAATCCCTCTCCTTCGAGAAGACTTCTTGACTCTACGGGGAGTAGATCTGACAAGCATCTTAGTAGGCAGTACCACCTGAAGCAGCCAAGACATACTGCAAGCATAACAGGGTCTTGTCGATTGGACTGACACACAGGGCATCCCGTTCCATTGGGGGGTTCTTTGCAATTTGCAATCGTGATTTTCTCCAACCCTGTCATTAGGATGCTAGGGATGACTTAGATAGGCTAGAGATGCAGGAGTTAACGATTCGAGCAGGATCAGTTTGCGTCTGGCTCTACCATCTACTATTTATTAATTACCCCTTACTGGTAATTGGGTTCTTGTGTTGAGCAATTCAATATTTGATACACAATTACTGGCACAACCACCAGTTCGATGAGGACAAGGTGCACCCGCCCTAGCAGGATCAGCTGCTCTGTGATGGTCGGCTTGTCCTGAGGACACTGGTGAAGGCGGGCCGGACATTACGAACTGACATAGGCCTCCGAATGAGAGCGTTCGCACAGAGTGATACGATAACAAGAACAATCTAGGACCAGAATAAACAGCAGCAAACGAGCCTATCAGAAGTGGGTGATCCGAGACTCATCGTGTATCGATCTCAACGTTGCAATCATAAGCAGGTTACGGTCAACTGCTTGCTATGGCGGGGGAGGACCTAGGAGTCAAATCTATCGATTGGGTGGGTAATAATATTTGTGAAATATATCCACCATAATATGGTGCCTCGTGAAGCTCGCCCAATATATTATTTTATGGTGAGGAATATATCGACATGCTCCTTCGTATTGTTCACTCGCTTAGTCGAGGTAGCTCGTGCACCTAACTAGTCATTGACTGTCATCCCCGGATGGTCCCAAAGTGGAAAGGAAGTCTTACAAGTGTGACACACAAGACGTTGAAGCAAAACTAGAAATTCGGTATGATCAGAATAATCGAATGAAAAGAATAAACTATCATAACGCTCAGTTAGCGTTCAAGAAAATACTCACTGCATATCCTGAGTAATCGGTGAGTGAGTCATGGTGAATGTTCCGCAATAGAGAGTCCGATCATGAGTTATCAAAAGGTCCATTGACACATGATGCCTTTAGCCGGTCCCATCTGGTACTCCATACAAACGGAATAGTCCTCGTTTACGCAGTTCTAAAGGAGACAAGCGACGTATCCGGAGAAATCCGACTACAACTTACATATCCGAGTTGGGGTGTACAGTCGAGAAGGCAACGTCCCAGAACGCACTTGATACCGACATGGGCACCCGCAGGAGCCCAGGGACAATCGGAGGCGTCGTTGCATAGCTCAGCGCAGATCGCATAGCAAGCAACAGGGTACTACATGTGAAGGTTGATGCGCACAATTACATGATCATCCTACATATTGCACGAATAGGTGCTGCCCGTTCGGACACTCACAGCCTCCGGTAAGACAGCCTCCGGAACAGGTGCAATTCGTGGGTCTGCCGTAGTATGGCCAATTTGTCTTCCCTAGTGGTCCATCCATATCTGACACAAGCCTACAGTAATCACTACAGGATCCCAGATAATCCCCTCACCAATATTGTAGCCCTTGCCGATGTTCTCGTCATAAGACCTAATCAAACAATTACTACAAAGTCAATCAGGGAAGTCGTAGCTCTTCTCACTGCTCAGCGACTCCCACAGGCAATTTGCTGATATCGGATCCGCTGCCCAAGACAGTGAACAGAGCGATCAGAAGAATGAAGGAACACATGATCGTATGCAAATACGCTATAGCAATGACTCATGGACTAGGTGTTCGCTGCCTCCTGTCGCTCCAACACGACCAATTATATTGACCGTGATGGCATGTGTGCAATCTAGGGCTGAGGGTCCCGGATGTGCGCGGTCGAAGGTTTCCACGATTCATAGAATTCGTGAATCGCAATTCACACAGGTGCTACTTGTTTACAGAAAGGACAGAAAATGAAAAAGCTAAATTTGAACGAGCGGTGGCATTTGCCTCGCTCCACGTCTACTGTGTACACGTGAAGTTCTACGTCAAGGCTTTGATCCTAGAGTGCGGTTGTGACTGGATTCCTGGGACCTGAGATCGGTTTGGAAAACATTGAATTCACGTGTTAATGCATGCTCATAGTTTGCCTAACTTCAAACTTCAAAGTTGAAAGCAGTTCTACATGATACCTATCACACATGATACCTACTACTGGGAGTCCGGAACCGTCTGAACGCAATCGTAGTAACTAGGAAACGTTCCCTGCTGCGGTAGCAGTGCTGCCTCATCAATATTCTGAATATTATATTTATACCTACGATTCCCGCGTCTGGCTGGCTAATATTCGGGCGCGCACGTTGTGAGCAGACAGCGTTGCGCACAGCGGGGACTAGGGTGGCACAAGTTATTCCCTCCCATTTCCTTCGGAAAGATGAAGAAGATTTCGAAAATTATTTCAAGCGGGAAAAAGGGGAAAATACGGACAAATAGAGCAAAAATTTTCAAAGAAGAACATGGCTACAGAAAAGTCATAAAATGAAAGACATCTCGGCCAATGATGTTTGGAGTAGATGATTGTATTCATGGGTTGGTTAGAAGGGGAGCGGAGAAAATGTTCACCAGAAAGACTGAAGATTTTTGTGGCGAGCGAGGATTCGATGTGAACTTTCAACTGGAAGGCCCACGTTCCGGTTCGGGGATAAACGTGGTGTCGATAATCGCGCGCTTGTCGACAGCACAACGCAACGTAATATGAGGTCTATTATCGTGGAACTATACGCTCATTGGTGTACCGATCATGCTACAACCAATGCACTCGAGGTTAAGCGGTATCTCACCCTGTCTTGTCATGACGATTCATATGATGGATTTCGGGAGAAAGCTAAGAGTACATTCCCGCTGTCATCAGAAGCAGCTATCTGTGCGCAATTCTTTACTCTCACTACTAGCTCGGGCGAGAGCATTTTTAGTCGTGCACGAGATCAGCTTGGTATGCGTAGAACAGAGCTGAAGCCAAATACTCTTGAATCACTGTTGATAATTCAAACCACCAATGTTTTCGAAAAGAGCTCTATGAGGAGGTGATCAGAATCTGATCATCAGATCACAGTGCTGGGCTCTGCATCTCTGCATCTACAGTTCAAAGGCTTTGCATGATGAGCAGTCTCTCCGCAATTAATTTATCCATCGGGCGAGTTCGACTTGTGTTAGACCAGAACTAGTACCAAATCGATAAAATCGTATCTCAGAAATTCGGAGTCCTAGTGCCTCCGTCGAAACCTTTTCACTTTGAAGTTTCTCATCTCTGAGAGATGATCCCTCGTGCTGAGATTGTATCAGCCAAGAGAAAACTATCCTCAATAATGAATCAGCTTATTCGGAAATAGTTGATAACCAACTACACGGCCAGAAAAGCGCTCTTTATGAGAATTTCTTGGAGAGGAGTTCTCGGCGAGTCTCGCCGCTCGTCTCGAGAGAAATATAGGAGACCGTGCTCGCT